CAGTGTTGGATGCTCGCTGCTCGACGCTTGCCGCTTGCTGCGTGCAGTCTGCACTAGGCTTGATATATCCGAACGCACCCCAGAATCAACAGAATGCTTGGTAGGGAATTTCGCTGCTGGTTGTGTAGTCTGTGGTCCTCCGTCCCCACGAATCCCACACAACTCTCTCTTTCTCACTCACTCTCTCTCTCTCTTGCTCTCTCTCTTCCCCCCCCCCCCGCGAAGCCGAGGCGACGGGCGAAGATGGCCGTCTGACAAAACATTCCAGGCATAGCAGGCGATCAACGACATCGTGTCGCCTTCGTACGGGTATGTTGCGCGACGGCGGCCGCGGAGCAACGTCATCCTGACCGAGATCTCTCGTCGTACGAGTGGCGCAACGACGTCGGCGCGAGCGACGGGCCAGAGAGCGCGAACGAGAGAGAGAGAGCGCGCGGAAGGTGCGCGGCCGTCCGCGCGGTGCACCATTTGCCAGTTCGTCTGTGGGGGAAGAGGAAAAAAAAGTAATAGGTGGTGCGCTGACGTCCCGCTGGTGATCGCGAGGGCGATCGGATTCACGGATTGCTTTCACGGCGACGTGTGATCGTGAAACGATCGCGAACCGATCCCGCGACGTGTCGCTCGACAACGAGGACGGGGATCGAGAGAGAGAAAGAGAGAGAGAGAGAGACAGAGATAGAGATACAAAGACAGCAAATTGATCGTTCGAGATCATGACGATCTTGTCGAAGAAGAAGGCGAATGCGCCGAAGGACAGGACGCGCGAGGGAGGCGCCGGACCGGAAGTCGACGTTCATCATGGGGTAGTGCAGAACGAGCACAGCTCCGGCAGCATCGCGCTCCCGAACAGTCCTTATCAGGTGAGAGACGGAACGTGATTTCCGGACTTTGCTCTGTCTCTCTGCTTTAGAAAAAAAAACACACACACAAACCGGGGCAGGTTCTAAAACAGAAGTTTTGCCAACTCGCTGCCTAGGTACGGGGCGCCAGCGGCTTCGCCGTCGATCTGCACGGAGTCCAAAGCGATCACGGATCCCACAGCGGCTCCCTCGTGTTGACCGGCAGCTCGTACGAGGTACATACGTACTGCGGGGTCGTTTCTTTGTCTCCCGGACAGTGTCCACCCCGCGTCGCGTGGATCGCCCTCCTCGCGGTTCCGGCGTTACGGAATCGTCGGTCGTTGTGTAACGCGCGACTTGGACGACGAAGCGCGGGGAATTGAGGCTGGTCTGCGGCACCGAAGTAAGTCCGGCGCGTGAAGGAGCGAGAGCCCAGGGTGGCGTCGCGCGGAGCGTGACGCTTGCGTAACCTGCGCGTCCGCCAATCGCGGGGTCATAGAACCGCTTCAGCAATTCCGTCGAAGCGATTCTGCGGACTGGCGATATACGCAGGTTACGCTCCGCGCGACGCCCACCCTAAAGGCCAATGTCCACGACGCTAG